GGATGTGGTGCTTGGACATGGTGCTTGGGCATGGTGCTCAGCCACTGTGCACAGACACGGTGCTTGGGCAAGGTGCTTGGCACCATGCATGGACATAGTGGTTGACCATTGTGCTTGGCCATGGTGCTTGGCACCGTGCATGGACACAGTGCTTGACCATGGTGCTTGGGCAGGGTGCTTGGCACCATGCATGGACATAGTGGTTAACCATGGTGCTTGGGCAGGGTGCTTGGTCATGGTGCTTGGCACCATGCATGGACACAGTGCTTGATACTGGTGCTTGGCCATGGTGGTTGGCACTCTGCACAGACACAATGGTTGACCATGGTGCTTGGCACCATGAATGGACACAGTGCTTGACTATGGTGCTTGCCCTTGGTGCTTGGCCATGGTGCTTGGCACCATGAATGGACACAGTGCTTGACCGTGGTGCTTGGCACCATGCACAGACACAATGGTTGACTGTGGTGCTTGACATGGTGCTTGGCCATGGTGCTTGGCACCATGCACAGACACAATGGTTGACCATGGTGCTTGACCATGGTGCTTAGCCATGGTGTTTAGCCATGGTGGTTGGCACCATGCACAGACACATGGTGCTTGGGCACGGTGCTGGGCCATGGGCGCCCTGGCACTGCTATGGTTGAGCACCATGCCCCTCCATGGCGCCCGTGCACAGCCCCTGCTCACCGTATGGTGCCACCGCATGTGGGCACCGCTCAGCACCGCGCTTGGCGCTGCTCCTCCGCATCCCCACACCGCGCTGTGCGCCCCATGGCGCCGCGCATCCCGCTTCTGCCCGGCTCTTTTCTTTTCCCCCTTCCCCCCCCCCCCCCTTTTTTGTCCATGTTTTGGGGTTTATTGGTGCTACTTCCTTCCCCTTTGGCTTCCCGTCAGCGCTGGGGCAGCAGCTCCCCCCCGCGCCCCCCAACCAAGGCAAATACCTCAACCCCCCCCAATTCCCCGAGCGAATCCGGGGCGAATCTTTCCGAAATCAGGGATCCTTCCGCAGCGGTTTCTTCCTTAATTATTATGGGTTTTTCTCCCCCCCACTCCCCCCCTTTTTCCCTTTCCGCCCGGGTTTGTTCCTCATTTTTCCGCATCCTTCAGGGATTTCAAACCGCCGCAATTCCAGCCTCATTTTTAACCCCAGGAGCAACTTGTTTGGGTTGATTCTTGCATTTTTTTTGGGGAACCCCTTGGTTTTCCCACCACGACTCCCCCCCCCCAAAAAAAAACCCCATCAAGAGGTAAGAATTCCACCACAATCCACCCATCAAGCGCCATTTCTCCTTCAGAGTCGGGAATTCCATTGGAGGCGGGGAGGGATTTTAGTGGGGGGGGGATGTTGGGATCATGGAAAAGGGGAGCGGGACGGCGGCAGGCGGAAAGGGGGGGACACACGGGGGGTGTCCCGGCGGCTCCGAACCATTCACACTTGAAGATTCCTGGTCGGGACTGTGGTTACTTGAAATGAAGTTTTGATCCGGGGCGGATCGAGGACCGGTAGATTCTATCCCCATGTCTCAAGGCAATAGGATTAATGTGTATTAAACTGTAGATACTTTTAGGACAGTAAATTTATGCTGATAATTTTATTTTGTATAATTTTCCCCCTTCCCTCCCCAGTTTTTCCTCTTTACGTTTGATTTATTTCTCCCTTTTAACACCCTTTCCCCCCACCCTCTTTTTTCCCCGTGTTTTGGTAAATTTATTTTTTAGGATGCCTAAAAATGACAAGTTTTGGATCCTTCCCCTTCTTTTCCCCCCCTATTTTGTTGGGTTTTTTGTTTTTTTTTCGTTTCATTGCTGGGTTTTGGTTCTTTTTTTGGTTGATTTTGTAATTTGTATTTTATTCTGCGTTGCCGCGGCCGCCGGGCTGTGAAATGTATTATTCCTGATACCTTTAAAATATTGTGGGTGTTTTAATAAATTTTATATTTATTTTTTGCACTCAAAACGTTGCCCTCCCCCCCTTTCCCCCATTTCTGCTTTCCATGTGTTTTGGGGGCTGGGATTTGGGCTTCAGGATGGGTGGGTTGGGAAGGGGACCTGGCATCCTAGAGGGGTTGGTTGGTGAGGGGAAGATGGGGCTCTGTCTATTAGGGAGGCGTCAGGATGAGGAGCAATGGTGGGAATAGGATGGGGATGTGGTTATGGGGGGAGTGTCGGGATGCGCATCTGGGGATGGAATGGGGAGGGAGGAAGGGAGCAGGGAGGGGGGGTATAGGGAGGTAAGGATTGGGATCGGTGTTCTGAGGGGTGGGTGAGGATGGTGGCCACTGCTCACATAGAGGAGGAGCCAGGACAGAAAGGTGGTGCTGGGCATCACCGACACACACAGGGATCCACAGTGGTGCCACTCGGGTGTCCTGGAGCACAGCAGTTAAAGGGGTTTAACCAGTGAGACTGAACTGGTTTTGTGCCTGTAAGCACAACTCCCTTAAGGCTCCCAAGCCAAGTGAACCGGAGTCTGCCCCTGCTCTCCACAGGGACCAGTCAAAAACTCACTGCAGTTGGTGGCATCCAAACAAGTCAGGGGATGCAGGGACAGGCCAAGGGGAATGGCTTTAACCTGCCCGAGGGGAGGTTGGGATGAGCTCTTAAGTTCTTCACTATGAGGGTGCTGGGACACTGAAATGGGTTGAACGGAGAAGCTGTGGCTGCCCCATGTTGGGATTCCATGACCAAGCAGCACCTGTGCTGCTTCCAGCAGCTGATTCTTGAAGCAGCTCTTGCTGACCAGCCCCAGCTTATGGGATGCAGCGGGTGGCAGCGATGCGCTCGCTCCATCCCTCCCCACTCCCTGGCCTGCAGTGCCCCTGCGTGGCGCCGGGCTGTTCCCGCAGCGCAGGCTGAGCGTGCAGCTCCATGGGTGTTAATGGCCAACAGTATCCTTATCCCTGCGGAATTCCTCTTGTTTTGCCCTGGAATGTGCCATCCGCAGGCAGACACTTACAGGTGTCTCATGAAGCAGTTCCGCAGCGCTGGCCCGACCTCAGGAATTCAACCCCAGCTTGCTCAACCTTTGTCCCTTGGAGCCTGGCACCTGCTGAAGGATTTCAGGAATTCTCTGGACTTTGGAACTTACTTCTGTTTTCAAACCTGCTTTCCCTGTGCTGGCTGCTGCTCATGGGGTTATTCCCCGGCTCTCCCGCAGACAGAGGGGCTGTAACCAAGGGGATAAACGAGTAGGAAAAGGCAAAAGCACGCATCCCAACTTTTTTAAGCCATTTTAGCATAATAGATCCTCCTTCCCCTCCCTCCTCCAGTCAGTGATCAGTGGGATAATGAAAGCGCTTGTTGATACTGAGGAGATGGGAGCTGTAACTTCAAGTGCCTCTTCAGTGACAAGTACAGTGCAGGGAGGTTGGATGAGTTGTGTAAATCATGAGCTGATGGCTTCGCTGCCTGAAGGACTTGTGCTTCTGTACAAGGAACAGCTCAAACTATGGCTTAGTTTGCACTAGTGCAACACTTAACAGACTTCATCAGTCAGAATCTCTTCTCTGGTGATGGTGGCAGGACATCAGGACCCAGGTTAAGGATGAGCAGCAGCAGCAGCAGGCACAGGAGGTGCCTCCACTCATTCAGTGACCCATTTGATGTGCAGATCGTTCAAAGGGTGACACCCGAATACAAGGACACCCCATAGTACTATTCATAGGGAACACTGAGTCAGCATAAGCCTGAGCTCACTTTCAAGCAGCCCTTTAAAGTGTCTTAAGCCTCTTCTAGTGCAAACCACCCACTGAGACACCTTTGGACCCGATGGTGTGCCATTGCCCTGCAACATCCCTGCAAAGCCTTTACCCGCTCCCCAGCACAAAGCATTCCTTCCTGAAGCTAAAGCCCAACCCCTCCTCAAAAGCTCCAGCAGCAACATGAGGGTGGCTCAACAGAAATGGAAGTAGTTTCACTCATGTAACCCAGCTCCCCAGTGGCAAAGACCATCAGAGCCACTGCTGCCCAACCCGTTTTATAACCACAAAGATCACCCAAGCTCCCCCCTTGTTCAACACTTCCCATATTTAATTTATTTAGGTATTCTCTACATCAAAGTATTCTCATGCCAACGCTCCCATCCCAACCTCAAGAAAAATAGACTTGACACAGCTTTAGGGCGGAATGCACTGGAGTAGAATTGCCATTGAGTCCAAGTTACAGAGAACACTGAACAAACTAAAGAAGTGCACAAAGGAGACACCAGGGAAAGCTGGAATTAGTTACACATCCTTCAGGTCGTGTTAGCACCTTCCTAGACAAGTATAGAGAGGTGCAACGTGCTTTAGTTAGCCAGACCAGAGCATGGACTACAGTGAGCCTGGAAAAAAAGCAGGGGAGCCTGCCAGGACTGGGCTTGGAGCCCCAGCGGAACCAATGGGAAGGAACAGCACTGCACTGACTAGCCAAGGCTGCAGTGTTTGCAATGCTGAGCTCTCTTGGCTAGCCAGACCCGTGCCTGGAGTGCAAACCACACCAGTTCCAAACACAGCTCAGGACTAATGCAGTAAAGCCTTGTCATGCTACCCACTGGCCTGTGAGCTCTGAAAAGACCCTTTGCTAGTGGAAAAGCACCCAGCACCCTAGTGCCCTCAGTTTGTGCACACCTTGAAGAACCTTAAGCCATAGTTAAACACCAGCGACTTGTGTTTTGCAGCAGGGTATGTTGTCATGCACCATGCTTTGCGCCTCTTAGCCTGGGCTTCAGGCAAGAGGGCAGAGCTCCATCTGTTCTACCAGCAGCACCACAACTGTCTGTGATCAGACTGAGCAGATGCTTCGGACAAAGGAACTCAGCATTTGCTCTTATACTTGAAAGTAAAGATCTGCAATCCTCGGGCATCCCCTTGAAATGCCTACAAAAGGTGCAGTCACAAAGCTTTGACTATTGCACATCTCTGAGAGCTGGCCTACATACTCTGCTGACGACCCAAGCTTTGGAAGAAGGGCTGCTTTAAGACCTGCTATCAGTGTGCACTGGAACACTGGCACAAACGTCACCTATCCTTGGTTTTCATTGTAAGGGCGACAAGTAAACACCAACACATGGAAAAGGAAAACAAACAGCATTTCACAGAGCAAGGGGTAAGAGATGAAGCTGCGGTTAGTGCTTTGCAGTGGAATCCCGAGGATAGAATTCAGCCAGGGTTGCCTGAGGAATCCTCTTCAACATCTCCTTGGGGAAGATCCTTAACAGCTGCCACCCGATGTCCAAGGTCTCGTAAACGGTGCGATTCTCGTAAGGACCTGCAGAAAGCAAGCACAGGCTGAAATGTGGGGCAGGGAAGGGTCTCAGCACCAAGCAGGAGGCAGGTGTGGGAGCAGGACCTTGCAGGTGCTCCCCCAGACTGGGATGTGCTTGAATCACTGACCCTGAGCAATGAAGTTCTTCTCGAACTTCTGCAGGAACTCCAGGTAAAGAAGATCATCCGAGGTCAGAGCTTCCTCACCAACCACAGCCTTCATGGCCTGCACATCCTTCCCAATAGCATAGCAGGCATACTAGAAGGGAAAGAAACCAAAGTGCTTTGACTTTGATCGTTCATGCACCCATTTCTGTTCAAACTCAAAGGGTCTCGCTAACTCCATGATTAAAAGCAGCCTCAGCAGTGTTCTGGATGGCAACTGTTCAGCAAGCCTTTTACAGGCTCTTTAGTACAAGGTCTGCTTGAAACATGGCCCTGCTTCTCTGAAGAGGTTTTTACATACCAGTTGGTTGGATACATCTGCATGATCCTTCCTGGTCATGCCCTCTCCAATAGCTGACTTCATCAGTCGAGACAAGGAGGGCAAGACATTAATAGGTGGGTAAACCTGGAGGAAAAAGGCATCCAAGACATCATCATTAACACTTCAAGAAGTACAGAATAATCTTAAGTATACTCTAACTGGGGTGATACATGCCTGCCTGTTATGCAGCTGCCTGTCCACATAGATTTGTCCCTCAGTGATGTATCCAGTCAAGTCAGGGATAGGATGAGTAATATCTGTGGAAATAAAATGGGGCCTTTTAGATCCATTTTAGCACTGATGCAGCAGTGCTAAATGCACTAAACTGCATTGCTAAATTGCAGTGAAGTGACTTCCAAAGTGAAATGCCATCGGTCAGTACCCCCCTTGTATCACCAAGCTCTTATGCATGGTTTAGAGCTCCTGCTACAGGGCTGAAGAACAGTCCTGAAGTCTGAAACAGGCAAAGCCCTTCTATTAATAATAAAGAGAAGGCAGCCAAGAAATGCATCACTGAGATAGGAACCTGAAGGCCACAGGATTTGCTGTGTGTCCAAAATAGGGCAGGTTGCTCTAAAGGAGTCCTTTAAAGTGCTATTTATTAAAACCACTTGAAAATAACTCACCATCATTAGGCATGGTAAGAATAGGGATCTGAGTAATGGAACCATTCCTGCCTTCCACGCGCCCAGCACGCTCATAGATAGTAGACAGGTCAGTGTACATGTAGCCTGGGAAGCCACGCCGGCCAGGCACCTCCTCTCTAGCTGCTGATACCTGAGGCAATGCAGAAGAATGTTTCCAAGCAGTCAGATCTCTCATCTAGACCTGGTATCTCCCTTCATTAAGCTACACTAACGACTTGAAGCACCCCTTCCTGCAGGTGATACCAAAACACAGCCACACAAACCCCTGTTTGGCACCACAACCACGTAGGGCAAGGCAAATCTGAAACTACAGTATCCAAGTGCTGAATGCCACCAGCCAAGTAAGCCTCAGAAATGCATACCTCTCGCAGGGCTTCAGCATAGGAGCTCATATCTGTCAGAATGACCAACACATGCTTCTCGCACTGATATGCCAAGAACTCTGCTGTAGTTAGAGCCAGGCGAGGTGTGATGATGCGCTCGATGCTGCAATAGGACAGTAAGGTGTTATTTATGTGTGTGCTTTCAGGCTGCAGGGTAACAGTTTGGGGTTACAAAGACCTTAAAACCCTCTGCTACTCGCACCAACTGGAATGCCAATGTAAGTGGCATCTGGCAGGACACCAGTGGGGCTCCCTCTTCCAGTTTGCTTGTCCTTTTCAGCCTTTTCCCAGCCAACACACTGTAAATACTTACGTTGGATCATTGGCCAAATTCAGGAAGAGACACACATTGTCCATGGACCCGTTTTCCTCAAAGTCTGACTTGAAGAACCGAGCAGTCTCCATGTTCACCTAAAGCACGGTATTAAGACATCAGTTCCAGACCAGGTTTCAGCGTAGTGCATTTTGCAGCATATTAAGGTCTAAACACCTCATCAATAATCCATAAGCAAAGCTCTCCATGATGAAAATTCCCCTGCATTCCCAGAATGAGTTCTTTCTAGAATTCCAGGCTAGAGATTAAGTTTAAGATGCTTTTTCCTGATCAAACACATTTTGTTACAGTACTTTTGGCCATTCGGGATATTCAGCCAGGCAACTCAGCACTGTTTATAAGACCTACTTCAAATACTTCAGCTACCCTCAGCATTGCTTGATTTATTCTGCAAGCATCATTTTCCTCCAGTGATATTGGCTTACACCCATAGCAGCAAACACGATGGCAAAGTTCTCCTCACTGTAGTCCATTACATCTTTGGATTTCTTCACCAAGCCAGCCTGGCGACATATCTGAGCTGCAATCTAGAAGGAAAACACGTTTCAGCTCACCTCGATGTTTGATGCTATTATCCAGGCTAGAATTTAACCACGTTTACTTTTTAACCCCCGTGAATAAGTCACTAAGGGTTTAGGGAACAGCTCTGAGAACTCACCTCGTTGTGGGGCAAGCCAGCGGCTGAGAATATGGGGATTTTCTGCCCCCTGGCAATACTGTTCATACCATCTATAGCAGAAATGCCAGTCTGAATCATTTCCTCTGGATAGATACGACACTGGGGATTGATGGGCTGACCTGGTATGGATTTTAAAGAGAACATACATTATTCTATATACGTGTCTGAAGCTTAATCAAACTGCTACTGACCACGAGCACTGGTAGAAGGCTCATGTCAAAAGGTGCAAACCCCACCATTAGGTCTAGAACTCTTTAGATGTGCCTGGTCAAACCTGAGCCTTTTGTAGATCTCAAGACTCTGGCATGCTGTGGTCATGTAAATGGCCAAGAGAAGCCTGTCAGGTTATTAAGTTTTTTGTCTTCGGAGGCTGTGGAATTAACATAGTCTACACATACTTCAAAGAACAGCTTCCAAGCTTCTGCTGCCTCATCTTTCTGCACTTATGTAAAGCTGATGTGAGTCTGTGCCACATACTTCAAAGATTAATCTTCCCCTAACAGGTAGACCCTACACTCAAAACCAAATCTGCTGTAACATTCAGCAACACCAGATTTGTATTAACTCCGTATCTGAAATGGATTAAGGACATACCCATTATGTCGAGGAAATCTTCAGCCAAAACAATGGGGCCTCTGTCTATAGGTTTTCCTGAGCCGTTAAATACTCTGCCTAAAAGAAAGAGCAGTAAAATAAACCTATGAAAGTAAGTCAGTGTGTGGCAAGTCTGCTCGTTCTTCCAGGCAATATCAAGCACTTACCAAGCATATCCTCAGACACAGGGGTTCGAAGAATATCCCCAGTAAATTCACAAGATGTTTTCTTAGCATCAATACCTGAAGTCCCTTCAAATACCTGTGAATATACCAGAAGAAGGAAAAAAAAACACACAGGCAAAAGGACTAAGCATTGTGCTGTACAAAATCACACACTAAAGAGCTGCTTCCCAGCCTGATCAGCCACCAGGATGAAAAGCAAGGTGGTCTTCTGCAAGCAAAGGATTTCAAGAGCAGCTTGTGAGTATAAAACATCACACAGAGACCTATTTTAAACCAAATTCATGAAGTATCAGCAGCAACCAACAAACCCAGCGCCAATCCTTTGATCTCAAGCATTTCCCTTTGCCAAGAGGGGAGAGTTCTTCAGATAAGAAGAATGAATATTAACAAGAAACAGCTGCTTAGAAGAAATACCTGTGTCCACATAGCAGAGCTTGGATCCAACACTGTACAGTTACAGTATGATTCCAGTAATCTTGGAGTAAGTAGGTAATGTCCTTTTTCATTTATAAGTACCAAAAGAACATACCCTAAGATAGATCTGAGATGGCTCAGACACATGCTAAGTAATAAAATACTTGACTGCTGCAACAAGAGACACTCCTGTCCCTCACCATACCTGAACCACAGCTTTGGAGCCACTGATTTCCAGAACCTGCCCACTCCTTCTTGTGCCATCAGGAAGAGTCAAGTGGACAATCTCTGCGTACCTAGGAAACTGAAGATGAGCAAGAAAGGTGGAAAGCATTAAAACCCAGAGGAATAGCCACGAACAAAAGTTACCAGTTTCAAGCACGCTTAAACTTAGCAACTAGTCTAGTTTTTAAAGTAAACTCATCATCAGAGCAAAGCTGATTCCAAGGCAGTTAAAAGTTATCAGGCTAAAGCCATTTCTGCAGGGACTGTATCCATGTAACACTTGCTCAGAGCTTCAGGCTTACAGAAAGACTGGCCAGAATCTGTTCTAAACCCGTACTAGTCCCAAAATACTAATGGAAAGCTGGAAGAATGAGCTGGCTTTTGCCTCTTCATCAGTTGCTTGCCACTAATTTGAGACCAAGCCAAAAGTGTTTCCAGTTCCTTTCACAGAGCACTTGTGCTCTAGTAACAAAAAGGTCAAGAACAAAGCAAATAGGTATGTTTCTGCATTGAGTTTAGACCACATTTTGGGTGGTTTTGGTAAAACTGAAGCACTGGTTCCTTTCTTGCCCTCAACAGGCTCAACAACTCTCCCTGTCTGTCCAGGACAGGCACAACTCTCCCTCAGAAACCTTCATTCATTCAGAATCTGAATCTTTACCTTTACTTGATCCAAGATAACCAGGGGACCATTCACACCCGAGACAGTTTTGTAAGCTGCAAGAAAGCGAAGCACAAGTCAGATGCTTCCTGAGGACACCAGTAACAACCTACATAAAGCTTCATTCCTATCACCAGCCTCAGGTCTGCAGATTTTGGGCCCAGCTCCATACCACTGCTGTCTGTTACGAACTCTACAAAAGAAGGATGAATTATGAATGGTGGGACCAGCATTTTTGGCTGCTCCCTGCACCTCAGGTAACCTTAACTACATGATATTGCCATTTCCTTGACTGTCACAGAAATCCACTGCAGGTCTAGATGCAGAGATAATGGCAATGGCACAGAAACACCAATGCAATGTACAGGGGACATTTTAAGCTAAGGAAAATCAACAATCACAAGAGCTTTAAAAACAAAGCAGGGATTAACATCTGTAACTTGTGATGAAGGTGACACTGCAATTTATGCCCAACAAATGGCAAGATCTTCATCGTACTCAATCATACTCAAAGATACTTAATCAATACTCAACTTGGGGGTTTTTTAAGCACAGAAGTGCCTTGCTCCACAACACTTGTACAGCCTCTAGTGAGCCAAGCAAGTAGATTCCATGCACCAAAGCTGATCAGCAGAGCTTCTCCAGTGAGCTATGGGCTTTGGCACTGCTAAGAGGAAACCTCACAGCACCTTTCCCATCTCCTGAGGACGGGTCAGTGCACGATACTGTAAGAGGATGAATTTCACCTTGGCCAAACTGCTCCTACTCTTGGGTTTAACTTAAGGATTGACACCCGATAGAAGGCCGCAGCTCATGTGTTAAACATCAGCAGCCTCCAGGGAAGCTCTACAGGCAGCTTCCTGGGGTGCTGAGTGCCCAGAACTCACCAGTGCTATCAGCCCAGTGGAAAGGGTGTGAAAACTGTGTCCTGTGTTACTCTAAGGACACACTAATACCCCAGCTGGAGCCTGGAATCACTTGATCCACAGATAACACTGAGTCAAAGCTTGATCAGGGTCACAGGAGCAGTGACCAAGGGAGTGACTGTTAATCACTTATCCCTGGGAGGGAAAAGTGAGCAAGTGGAGCCATGTGCAGCACAGGGAAGACACCAGCACCATTCAAGGCAGAGGAAACAGGCACTCGTGGTACCAGGGAATGAATGATCCAGCTTAGCCCGGCTCTGGCACACTTACCATGCGTTGTCTCAACTGTCAACAAGGTGGCATTTACAGTTCAACAAACAGCCTGAACTGTTGCAATGTAATCTCCTAATTGGCAATAATCAGAACTGCATTAGATAAGGCTTGAGGGTCACTGGGTGTATAAGGAGGTCTAAAGCTGGAACTTCTCAGGTTTAGCAACATCCTGCTGGACACATGTCCCTGAATCAGTCTCAGTCAAGAGCACAGGCTGGCCTGCTCTCTTCACCCGAGCAGGGAGAACCCCACAGACATTATAACACAGCTCAGACTGCAGCTGTATGCAACCCACTGGGAATGGAAAACGTGCTCTTGAGCAAAGCATTTCATCCCATGACTGTCTCATGAGCACATCTTCCTCAATCGGCAGGAAAGGGCTCACACTCCCTGTGTTGTCCACACAACAGTGTCTCCTTGACATGAAGCAGCATCAATCCCCTTTGAAAGCAGCTCGCCACTGACTCCAAATTCCTGTTTCCAATAAAATCAGACAGGTCTATGACAAACCAAAAGCAACTGGAATGTTTTTCATAGCCAGATTGCAGCTTGGGCACAAGCCAAAACCTACATGGAAAAAAATCAAATTCACAGAATCCTAGCATGGTTTGGGTTGGAAGGAACCCTAAAGCTCATCCATTTCCAACCCCTGCCATGGGCAGGGACCCCTTCCACTGGAGCAGCTTGCTCCAAGCCCCTGTGTCCAACCTGGCCTTGAACACTGCCAGGGATGGGGCAGCCACAGCTTCTCTGGGCACCCTGTGCCAGCGCCTCAGCACCCTCACAGGGAAGAGCTTCTGCCTAAGAGCTCATCTCAGTCTCCCCTCGGGCAGGTTAAAGCCATTCCCCTTGGCCTGTCCCTATATCCCAAAGCCCCTCTCCAGGTTTCCTGCAGCCCCTTCAGGCACTGGAGCTGCTCTCAGGTCTCCCCTTCAGGAGCTTTCTCTTCTCCAGCCCAGCTCCCTCAGCCACCCGGGCTCCAGCCTCGGCAGAAGCCTCCTCTCCAGAGGAAGGCAGGCCCGGGGGTGTGCAGGAATGGCAGTGACTGACCTGGCGTCCCACCCAGGCCGGGGCTCTCAGGGGAACCACCCCCGCCTGACACACTGTGCGCGCTGCCGCTGCTCGCAGGGAGCCAACCGTGCAACCACCACCTACACCGGCAAAACACCAGGGAAACACCGCAGTTTTGGCCTTCCCCTCCCCTGCAGTCACGGTTTGTTCTGTTTTCACAAGGCTTCAGTATTTCCCCTTCCCCGCAGCACCCCGGCAGCCTCCAGCTCCTGCCGCAGACGAAGGACACCGGCACCCGGCGGGCTCCGGCTCGGGAGGCCCCACCGGACACCCCCGGTTCTACCTCAGGAGCGGTTCCGGTTCCCCCCCCGCCGCCCCCGGTGCCCGCACTCACTGAGCCGCGGCTGCGAGAGGAAGTCCCGGGTCAGCGCCGCCGCCTGCTCCAGGGCCCCCCCCTGCTCCCGCGGCCCCCCGGGCCCGGCGCCGTTCACCAGCCCGCGCATCGCCCGCACCACTGCGGCCATCTTCTGCGCACGGCGCCACCGCGCATGCGCGGGGTATAGGGAGCAAGAGGGAGGGACCCGCCCCGCGCAGCGCCACCCCCCCCGGCGGGGAGGAGCTGGCCAGGGTGCTGAGGGGGAGAAGGGAGAGGGAAGGGAAGGGAAGGGAAGGGAAAAGGGAAGGGAAGGGAAAAGGGAAGGGGAGGGAAGGGAAAAGGGAAGGGAAGGGGAGGGAAAAGGGAAGGGGAGGGAAAAGGGAAGGGAAGGGAAAAGGGAAGGGAAGGGGAGGGAAAAGGGGAGGGAAAAGGGAAGGGAAGGGGAAAAGGGAAGGGAAGGGGAGGGAAAAGGGAAGGGAAGGGAAAAGGGAAGGGAAGGGAAAAGGGAAGGGAAAAGGGAAGGGAAAAGGGAAGGGAAGGGAAAAGGGAAGGGGAGGGAAAAGGGAAGGGAAGGGAAAAGGGAGGGGGAAAGGGAAAGAGAAGAGGAAAGGGAAAAGGAAAAAGGTGAAAGGGAGAAGGAAAAAGGGAAAAGGGAAGGGGAAGAGGAAAAGAGAAAAGGAAAAGGGAAGGGGAAGGGGGAAGAGGAAAAGAGGAAAGGAAAAGGGAAGGGGAAAGGGGAAGAAGAAGGGGAAGGAAAAGGGAAAGGAAAAGGGAATGGAAACAGGTGAAAAGGAAAGAAAAAAGTAAAGGGAAGACAAAGGGAGGAAGGGAAGGAGGAAGGAAGGAAAAAGGAAAGGAAGGGAAGGAATGAAGGAAAAAGGAAAGGAAGGAAGGAAAGGGAGGGAGGGAGGGAGGGAGGGAGGGAGGGAGGAAGGAAGGAAGGAAGGAAGGAAGGAAGGAAGGAAGGAAGGAAGGAAAGAAGGAAGGAAGGAAGGAAGGAAGGAAGGAAGGAAGGAAGGAAGGAAGGAAGGAAGGAAAAGGATGAAGCTAAATAACGAATGCTTTGGCAAAAGGGTTCAATGCCTGAGGGTTCCTTCTGCCACCCAAGCAAAGCAGAGCCCTGGCCCCCTGCCCATGTACCCCCAGCCCTGGGTATCCCACCGGCTCCATGCGTGTCCCCACACACAGCCCAGCCGTGTTCTCAGGGGTCTGCTTCATCCAGCACCAGTGCTTTGATCTGGGAGTGTAACAGAGGCTGCTTTGGGTAGATAGGAGATAAGGAACAAGGCAGGAACTGGCAATGAGGCAGGGCTGCCCATGGAATCACCCCCCTTGTGCTGCTGCTGCGCACTCAGATGTCAAGGGCTTACAGTTGTTTGAAGGACAGAACAAGAGCTGCCTTAAACCTTTAATTTAATATAAACTAGAGAGCGGGTTATCTATAGACACCTTTTCCCATTAAACATTAGTCTGTCAACCTTTGATTTCCATATGAGTTATGTATCATTCCTAGAATCATAGAATCGTTAGGGTTGGAAAGGACCTTAAGATCATCCAGTTCCAACCCCCCTGCCATGGGTAGGGACACCTCCCACTAAGCCATGCTTGCTCTCCTCCTTGCTTCCCAGTGAAATGGAATTATTTGATGTTCCAAACCAATCTTCCCTCTCCTTCTACGTTAAAAGTAGAAATGCTCTGGGGAAATAACATTCTCAAGGAGCTACTGGCAACCCTGAGCTGGTTTGGAGGAGCTACAAAGTGCCAAGGACCGGTGAGACTGATGGAAAGAGCAAACAATGACACAAGGAACTGTTTGGAGAAGGAGGGAGCAAACCCAATAAATAACCCCCAGACAAAGGGCAATGCTGTCGAGCGGATTAAACACCAAACTGGGAGGCTTTGGCCAGCTTTCAGCTCTCTTTCTAATGCAGCGTGACCTTGAGCGCATCACCCAGCGCTCCTGTTTGTTGAGAGTCAACAGGACTGAACAAAGTTTGCGCTTTACAACTACTTTACCTGCAGGGACAGGCCAAGGGGAATGGCTTTAAACTGCCAGAGGGGAGATTGAGATGAGCTCTTAGGCAGAAGCTTTTCCCTGTGAGGGTGATGGGACACTAGGGTGGGTTGAACGGAGAAGCTGTGGCTGCCCCATCCCTGGCAGTGTTCAAGGCCAGGTTGGACACAGGGGCTTGGAGCAAGCTGCTCTAGTGGAAGGGGTCCCTGGGTTGGAGCTGGGTGAGCTTTAAGGTCCCTTCATCCCAAACCATTCCTTGATTCCACGGTGGAGGAATATCAGCAAAGAGTGACTTTAACGTCTGGTTCTCCAAGTGCCCATTCAAATCTTGTGTGCTCACTCGGCCCTGGGCTGGCAGTGTCACATTAGGAGCCATTTGCCCCATGCTTCCTTTGGGCACACAGGAGCCTTGGCTGCACAGGGGATGTATTTCCCTGCACTGCTGAGGTGAGGGAACAGGAGTGAACAACCTCCTCCAGTGCATCCTGCTCTCAGCTGAATCCATAGGAACCACAGTCAGCTCCAGGGCTGGCACGGGGGCTGCTGCCAGCCCTTTTTCAGGCCCACATCCAATGCTGGGCCATCAGTTCTCCAATACTTCTCATTACACAAGAAATATTCACTGTGTTTTATTATCTCACTCTGGTGATTTCTTATTCTCTTTATCCTGCAGGGTTCTTGAAAGCAGAAATCTGAACATTTATAATGGTATACTGAAAGTACAGCTCAGGGAGAACTGCCTGCAAAAAGCTGCCACACTCATGGAAATGCTCCCAGAGCACATATGAGTAAGCTTTCCCATCCTCCGTGCACAACAAGAGCCAAGACGCTGCAATCTCCTTCAGCTGCCACGTGAGACATGTCCTGACCTTGGGGCCTACGGGAGATAACAGTAACAGTAGAAATGGAAATAAGAAATAGAGCTAGAAATGGAAATAGGAACAGGAATAAGAAATTGAAATAGAAATAGTAATTGCCATCATATTAATAATAACAAATGATTATAATAATAATAGTAATAATGATAATAAAAATAAGAATAAAAATAAGAAAAGGAAGAAGAGGAATAATAATAAGACAAAGAAGAAGATGAAGATGATGAAGAAGAAGAAGACAAAGAAGAAGAAGAGGAGGAAGAAGAATAGGAAGAGGATGAACAAGAAGAGGAATAATATTAATAATAATAATAAGATGAAGATGAAGAAGAAGAAGACAAAGAAGAAGAGGAAGAAGAAGAAGAATAGGAAGAGGAAGAAGAAGAAGAGGAATGATACTACTACTAATAATAATAGGACGAAGAAGAAGAAGACAAAGAAGAAGAAGACAAAGAAGAAGAGGAAGAACTGTCTCCACATGCTCCTCCTCACCTGAAGGAGAACCTGAATTCTTTTCTACCCAGCGCCCAAGGTACAGCTGAGCACTTCTAAGCTCCCTCAGTAGATGGCAATACTGCACTGCTCATCCTCGGTCTGCTTTGTGGCTGTTGAGAAAGCCATTTCCAGGCCTAGGCATCCAATTCTCAGCTCATGAAGTATATTTAAAGGCTTCAACTTCTGCTCTAATGCACACCCAGGGAACTCCTTGGTAGGATGTACTCATCTCACGTTATCGGCAATGGGTTTTGATCATGCAGAAGCCAGACAAATGGTCTCAGTGGCAGATTTACACCGCAACAGAGAAAAGGAGAATATGCCGAGGATTTATGCTCTATCTCTGCAGTGAATCTCCATCTCCTGAATGAAAGATGGCATCAGTTCTGCTTTAAAGAAAGAAATCACGGAGCAAAATGTCAAAAGTTTAAGAAAACAGAAATGATGGGAGAATAGAGATCACCTTGTAAATGGCATTTGCAGCACCTCACCTGTGCAGGGATATCATTTCCCATGCAGCTTTACTGCCCTTGTTAGTCCAAGAAATATCTCCTTGTCCCTGGAGACAAAGCAGGCAGCACAACAGCACAGGGAAAGGCTGTGGACAAGTGCCAGCATCCTTCTGTGGGGAGGAGGCAAGGGCAGAACTCAGATGTGGAGGGACCACAACCTGTTGATACCCAGAGGGAGGTGAGATTGCCCCATAACTGCCCAAAATCAGGGGGCAGATCAGTGCATTCCAGCCTTACAAATATCTCCATCCACTATGAACACTTATCATCACTCTTAGCATTACAGAAACGCTGATCTACGTTGTGGACTATGCAAAGGCAGCTTCTCAGCACCCCATGAGACCCAGGGACATAAAGATTTCACCAGCTCAACCCAGTGAACACACACATATGGCTCATGGTGATGTAAAAACTCCTACAGGTAGCAGTAGAGGAGCTGGAATGAGGTCAGCTGTACCAAGGACAAGAGCAAGAGAATGGCCATCAGACACTGAAGAGCAGTCCAAGACCTAGACTCTTATGTATTTCCCAGGGCCATATAATAATACCAGCCCAGTGATGAATCCAATCACTGCCCCCCATAAACACCCTCCAATGGGGCAGAGCAGATTTCCTTCACGGAGAAGAGGCATGAGCAGCCCCAGGGTAGGGTGTTTGGTCTGCTCAGAGCCAGGCAAGAGTTAAGGTGCTCAGAGAGAGAGATAAGCATTGATGAAAGCCTGGAGATCGGGTGCTCTGTGCAGATAAATGCTCCTGCCTTTCTCCTGCCAGCCCACCCCACTGCCCTGCTCTGACGCAGAGGGAGCTGCGGGGCTGAATGGAGCTTGTTTGAGGTTCCAATTAAATCTCCATGGAAAAGGGACACTCATATCCTCTTCTGATAGACGGTAATCATAAACCCTCGGGGAGCTGCAGAGCACATCACCTCCTGCAGCAGCAGCCGGCTCCTCGCACCAACATGGGCTGCAGGGTAAGAGCCTTTTCCACACCGATAGGTTTGTGTTGGGAAGGGAACAGGGGCTTGAGAGGTAAGGGCTCCATTGGTCTACGTGTATTTATTGTCTATGCTTCGTTACTCCTTATTTCTCTCTATTAATTTATACATAGATCTCTTCTCTTGCATTAATTCTACTTGGTATTTACTGGTACCTGGAGGTACAGTGAGAAACAACCCGTTTCCCAACTTAGTGACTTGTGTGGCACTCGTACTTGATGACAGAGGGCCTGGAGCGTTTGCTTTCCTGAATGAAAACACGATTAATCTCATTGCCTGGGATTTCAGGAAACCAGGGTTATTGGGAAGGGTGATACTTCGGACTCAGCTCCAGTCATTTGCCACTTAGTCTCCGAAGTGCCTAAGAGCTATAAGAGTAACTGGCTAATTGTTTGCTTTGTTTAGTGCAAGTTTCTGATTGATATTTGCAGCGTGGCCAAGCAAGCAATCTTCTCTCAGCCCTCTGAAGCTCTGATCTTAATCACACACTTTAGGCTTTTAAGTCCTGTATCTTGCCACGCCATTTCAATTAGGTCAAATGAAAAGACATGTAAGGCAAATGAATTTCCTTGGAGACCAAATTTAATCTCCGAAGAACAAACATGGAATAGAAGATGTAGAGCTTACCACTGATAAGCTACCAGCTTGATCTGTGCTTTGAGTCTTTGGGAGAAGACTTAAATGATGCCTTGAAGCAGATACAAGATGTGTCGGGAGAATGGAAATGGGTTCGAACACACTCCATTTAAATGCAGGCTTGATAAACCCACTGCCTGATAGCAAAGCTGGTGGTCCCAGCTCCTTAGGAACAGCACCCAGATGCAAGACATTGGGAGCTGCTTCCTCAATGGAGAAGCCAACAGCATCGGGAGGTTGTAACCTGGAGCCTTTTCTTCCAAGGTTATTGGAGACCTTCATCCCTGAGGACCAGGATCCAGCCCTGGCCATGCTGCCGGCTGCGGAGCACATGCCCTGGCGCTGGCTGGCAGCAGCAAGGGCATCCCGGAGGCTGGTGCTGGTGGTGGTGTTCGTGGCACTGCTGCTGGATAACATGCTGCTCACCGTCGTGGGTATGGCGCTGATGCTCGTCTCTGCTGGGCGCTGGGAGCCTTCAGGACCACCAACGTGTGGCCAGAACCATTCAGTCCTGGGTGCTGAGCCAGGAAATGGAGTCAGATCACTAATTCCTTCCCTGTTTGCTTTTTCCAGTACCCATCGTCCCCACCTTCCTCTATGCAACAGAATATGAAGGCACCAACAGCTCCATTGCCCCAGCTCAGACTGAAACAGCTCCTCCAGCCCTGAAAGCTCCTCCTTTCTCCTCCGTGTTCTCCTATTTTGACAACACCACGGTGACTGTCTTGGTCTCCACCAGTGCCATGGAGCTGGTGAATGGGACGGAGAGCAGCATCTCACCAGAGCCCACTGCGAGCATCCCACCATCACCCAGCAGCTGCCCTGAGGGTGAGGAGTTCCTCGCCAAGGAAAACACCCGTGTGGGGCTGCTGTTTGCCTCCAAGGCTCTGGTACAGCTGATGGTGAACCCGGCCGTGGGTCTCCTGACCAACAGGTAGGGCAGAGACCTGGGTTTGTACCTTCAAGCTGATGAAATCGGCTTTAGCTGAGCTTAAAGGGCTGTGCTGCCCAGGTGCAGCCCCTGCAAGCGTGGGATTACAGAACTGGTGGGTAGAATAGCAAGGGGGGTACATGTGCATTAAACCAAGCATGGATTTTACCTATTCTAAAAGCCTACAAGTTGATATTACAACATAAACCCCCTCAGATGAGGACAGATGCTATTTAATACCAGTAACCACCATATAAGCAATGATTCCCACCTTGCTATGGAAATAATGTTTTCTGCCCATGGTTTTTCTTTGCCTTTATCTCCATCAGACACATGTGGGCTGAGCTGGGCTCATGCCCATGTGTTCTGGGTGGGTTGATGAGTTGGCAAAACCAAGCCATGTCTCTGGGTGAGCTTTATGGGAGGACACTGGATGCTTCCTTGAACAGCCCTCATAGACACATCCACATGTTTAAGAGTTGATCTCCTGCCCACAGAGGCTGGGCAGCAAGGCCATATCTTGGGCTGGAATGAAGAATCCTCCCTGAGATGCCTCTTTTTCCCCTCTCTAGGATAGGATACCACATCCCCATGTTCATTGGGTTCGTCACCATGTTCCTCTCTACAGTCAGTGAGTATTGCCCTTCTCTCTGCCCTTCACACCCAGCAGCACAGGAGAGAACACACTGCTCTGTGCCTGCACCACTGTCCCCATGCAGAGCAGAGCAACGGGTCCCAGAAATGGGTGACAAGAAAGGACAAGCATCCCTCTGCCCCGTCCAGCACCCAAACCGATGCAAGCTGAGGCCGCTCCTACAGGGTTTTAATGCTCACTCCACAGCTCTGCCTGACCCATGTTTCCCCTTCCTCTGCAGTGTTTGCCTTCTCAGGCACCTACACCCTGCTGCTCATCGCCCGAGCCCTCCAAGGCGTTGGGTCATCGTTCTCATCAGTCGCAGGTACAAGTTTTAGCTACCCCTTAGCCTCTGTGTTGGCTCCTCTTGTCTGGGTTGTCATCATCTCAGGAATGATCAGCAGCACAGACACCCCTTGAAGCCTTCTTTGGCTTCAAACCCATCCTCACTGCTCCTGCCTGGAGCAGACAGATCCCCCCCAAAACCCAGGCTGCTTTCAGAGGAGCCCCATCACTGTGGTACCAGCCATGCTCATGTGGCCTCTGCTCCCTCTGCTCCCAGGCTTGGGCATGCTGGCCAGCGTGTACACGGATGACTTCGAGAGGGGCAACGTGATGGGCATCGCTCTTGGAGGCTTGGCCTTGGGTGTGCTGAGTAAGGAAACCTTGCTCCCGATGGGGTTGATTTCAACAGCATCTCCAGAGCTTTGCTGGCCATCACCTGCATGGCTGTGCCCCTTCCCTGGCCTGTCCTCCTCCCTCCTTTGCTCATTCTCCATGGGCACTTCCCATGGGATCTGACACCTTCCCCTAACACCTACTGGCTAGGTGGCAGGAGCCGAGCACTGCTGGGATGCTGGGATGCAGAGGGTGATGGGGATGGTGGCAGTGCTGCTGTGTGACAAACCTTTCTCTTGCAGTCGGGGCCCCCTTTGGCAGTGTGATGTATGAATTCGTGGGGAAGTCATCTCCCTTCCTGGTCCTGGCATTCTTTGCCCTGTTGGATGGAGGTGAGAAGCCAAGTGGTTAAATCCTACCCCCAAAAAAACATGAAGAGATTTAAATGTGGATGCTTCAGGGAGAATCTCCCAGGGCTTGTGTGAAGGAAGAGGCACATTAATACACAGGTGACAGCAGCAGAACTGGTTATTCTGTCACTGCTAAATCAGATGTTTTCTGCCACCAGATGGTTGACATAGCAATAGAGTAAGAAATAGTCCCCCATTACTTAATAAATCCCCTGATTGCATTAATGGCTTGAATAGCACATAGAATGGTTTGGGTTGGAAAGGACCTTAAGATCATCCAGTTCCAACCCCCCTGCCATGGGTAGGGACACCTCACTTTAGGCCATGCCACCCAAGGCTCTGTTTGGGAATAGCCCACCTGCAGCCTCTTCACCATGCCACAGAGGAATCAGGCTTTGCCAGCATAAATGGTGATCCTCAATCTTTCTCCCATAGCTGCTGCAGATGCCATGAGAGACAGCAGAAACATGCATTTTTAGTGGGAAGCATTAAGCTAATTCAATTATAGCCACAGTTACCATCCTTGCCTCGATGTAGTGCAAGAGACCTTTAATGAAGCATGTGAGAGCTCTTGGAAAATGAAGCGTAGGTGCAATACACGTGAAACTTCCTTTCTAAAGCCTATTTCTTTCCACATTGAACTCCTGCCATGCTCTAGTTGTGGCTCCCCAGCCTGGCAGAGACCACTGGCATAACTGGCTGCTCCATGGGTTGACAAAGCACTTCTGACATGATCCCTGTTAGGGACTTCTGCTGCTCCCTCCTATGGGAGCAGGGCTGGGAGCCACCTCTCCCCCTTCAATGATGCTCCCAAACACAGTTGCTGTAACCCCATGGAGGTCTGATGATGGAAGGGGTGGGGCTGAAGGAAAAGCAATAGGGAAATGTGGATTGGAACGATGCTGCCTCCAGAAACATGCTAACATCCATGTTTGCTTCCCAGCTCTGCAGCTCTGCACACTGCAGCCCTCCAAGATCTCCCCTGAGGTGAGTCCATAGGTGAGCTAGTGATGTGAATGAAGTGGAGGGGAGCAAGCACCCATGAATTCCATGTATTCCATGTATTCCCCATGGATACACATGCAGCTCTGAGCTTAACCCCCCTTTGCCATCCTGCAGAGCACCAAAGGCACACCAGTGCTCACCCTGCTGCGAGACCCCTACATCCTGGTTGCTGCAGGTAAAGCTGGGTATCAGCACATACTGTGCCCCTCGTGACTGAAGAAATCCCTTTGTGCTGCTTGAAACAGCAGCAGAAAGTGGCTAAAATAGAGCTTTTCTCCCCATCAGGAGCCCTCTGCTTCTCCAACATGGGGGTGGCCATGCTGGAGCCCACCTTGCCCATCTGGATGATGCAGACCATGTGCTCCCCAAAGTGGCAGCTAGGTAGGTGCTGTGCTTTGCAGCCTCCATCCTGCTTAATATCATTTACCTAGAACCAGTCCTGCTTTGGCACTGCGAGGTGGCTTGGATAATATCTTCTATCATCCTACAAGAGAAGAAAACATATGCCCTCCCCCGCATGGAATGAGTGATCCCAGGCTGCGTGTTGCTCCAATTGCAGCTGGAAATGTCCTTAGTGGTAGCTCTACAATGTGCTTTTCTCTATTACTGGAAAAATGGTCTGGAATCAGACTTCCCACAAGAGCAATAATGGTGGAAGAAAGGCTGTTCCATGCACGGGAAGCCTGTCGAATCCTGTCTTCTGCAGGGCAGATAATGGTATCGTGCTGGGCTGAAATCATGGCAGGCAGATGGGTTTTGCAGAGGCAGCTCAGAGTAAAACAAGGCCATTTAGAGAGTCGCAGGCAGGACAGGCTGGTGAGTGCTAATTACCAGCTGCCTAGAAAATGGGATACAGAGATAACGTTGTGTTTGCTATAGAAATAAGAACTAATTGTTATCAAACCCAATTGGCTGAGGAATGACACAGGGGGTGCCTCGGGCTGCACTCAGAGCCTAGATTGAATTGCAACCTGGGAGCAGGAGGGCTGAGAGAGCTTCTAATCGAGTTATCCTCTAGGCAGGCAGGAGCATCCATCCTGGTAAGTGCCTGTGATGCTTCTTAAGAACCAGGGATTGGGCAAGGATGGATGAGGGCAGAGCAGGATCTCAGAGATACTGAGAGTGGGGAGAAGGGACAGCAGAGCTGCCTGGTAACCACAGATGTCACAGACTGAGAGGGCTGCCCCTGTCACCACTGAGCCCAAAGGGAAGCTTTGAGATGACTTAGCAGTACCCAGAGGTCAGCAGACAGCAAAGAAAACCCCATATACATTCACTGGAGTTTGAGGTAGCAGAGATTTGAGAGCAGTCTGGACTGAGACACAGCCCAACTGCACTTCACCCACCTCATGAACTCAAGGGGCTTCTTTATTTGGGTGCTGCAATTCAATTCCCTCCTGTTATGCTGGAGAAAAACAACCAGAAGAGCTTGGAGTAAATCTGCAGGATTAACTGTGTGCTGTAGCTGCTAAAGAGAGGCGAGGAGATGAAACATAAATCATGTGTTTCAATGAGGAAGTTGTCTCAGTGAAATGGAGCTGATCAGGTTTATTTATAGTGGCAGGGAGAGTATATTAAAAACAAACAAGTGGTAAATCAGCAAACAGTGCAAATATTGAGCTCTGACTGCATCATGATCCCCCAGCTTTTTACTTAAGCACTTTTTTAATTCTGCTTTCTTTAGTAAATGAAAAGCAGAAAACAAGAGGAAATGGGGAAGAAGAAGAAACCACGACAAGAGAGGATGAGCTTATTAAAGCAGTGGGGATAAGAGTCCTGCCCTTAGCTCCTGTTTGTGGGTGAAGCACTGCACCTCTGCGTGCCTCAGTTTCCCCCCTCACCATCAAAAGCAAATGCATTCTTTATGCCTCTTTCTTCATAGAGGGACCCCCACCCTTCTACAGGGCACAGAGTGATGGGAAAGGGAGCAATGGCAGTGGAGGACATAGGAAAGCACCACTGCAGGGACTGGCTCCCATAGGGATTGCCTTGTCTCCCCATGACATTCCCCAAACAAGAGAGGCAGTTAATGAAGGGTTTTGCACATCCCCTGTATTCACTTGGGGATAACACTCTGGATTATCCTTTGTCTCTCTCAGGGATGGCATTCCTCCCTGCCAGTGTATCCTACCTCATCGGTACCAACCTCTTTGGGATTCTGGCTAACAGAATAGGCCGGTAAGTGGGACGTCAGAGATTTCAGCTCAGCCCAAGCCTGTGCTTTCAGCACGAATCGTGCTCACGGAGCTGTGCACACCGAGAACATCTCCTTCTCCTAACTGAGACCTCGTTGCAGGTGGCTGTGCTCCCTGATCGGCATGGCTGTGGTGGGAATCAGTCTCCTTTGTGTAAGTAAGATGATTCTGAGACCCTTCTGCAAGAAGAGTCAGCAGGGGCAGCGAGGGCAACGGTGCTGACATAGGGTTACACACCTGGCCGATGCTCAGGGGTTGCACTGTGTTACACCTCACACAGCTCTCCTGCCCTCATCCTTTCTCTCTCCTCTCAAAGGTACCTCTGGCCAAGACAATTTACGGGCTGATTGCCCCAAACAGCGGGCTTGGCTTTGCCATAGGTAAGCTGCTGTGGTCAGGCTGTGTGACACGGCTCAAACACAGCTCTCACCACTCGGAGGGGGTGAGGGCTGATCAGGTCCTTCTTGCTTTGGGCAGGCATGGTGGACTCCTCAATGATGCCCATCATGGGCTACCTCGTGGACCTTCGCCACACCTCCATCTACGGCAACGTCTATGCCATAGCTGATGTCGCCTTCTGCATGGGCTTTGCGATTGGTACGGAGGAACTCTTCCTCACAGGATGAGATGCTTACTCAGTGTGTATCTCCTCCCTTTCCTCCACCCAGCGTTCACTGCAAGCAACCAGCACAGAATCCACAACCCAGTCACCGTAGACGCACAGAAACCCTCTGAACTGGACAAGCACCTTTTGCTCTCTGTCATCCTAAGTCCTTTTTGGTTATAAACTTGCAGGTCCATCCACAGGCGGTGCGATCGCACGTGCTATTGGCTTCCCTTGGCTGATGGTCATCATTGGTGTCATCAACATTGCCTACGCTCCTCTGTGCTGGTACCTGCGTAACCCCCCCGCGAAAGAGGAGAAGATTGTGAGTTTAAGCACATTTAATTCTTGTTAACTACTCAGATTAATCCCCAGTGTTACTAAACCATGATTTCTCTTCCCCTTTACCCAGGCAATCTTAAGCCAGGAGTGCCCCATGCAAACCAAAAGCTACACGGCCCAGAAAACCCTGCGTGATTTCCCTCTCACAGACGACAGCGATGTGGAGGCAGAACATGCGGAATAGCACACGCAAGGATGCTTGCCGTGTATTGAAGCTAATATTACGGTTATAGAACATGGATCTATCAGCACCCAGGAATAACCCTGTCTCCCCCAAGGCTTCTGGACACAAGCTGTGTCACTGACCTGTTCTCTTAGCCAAGCAACCCAGAGCAGGGAGCAGAGACTTGGGATTCAGAGGCTCTATTCGATTAGTTAAGCTACTCAATTGCTCTGTGACTTGTAGGCAAGCTGACCCAAACTCAACACATCTCATATGTACAACAAAAGTTATGAAGAGGAGGAGAATCCTATCACCCTGTCCTCCAGAGTAATGCTGTCTCAGGCACAGCGTGTCAATATTATTGACATCTCCTCTTGATGAGTGCAGTGGTATTTGTTAATGCCTTTAAATAGAATCCCAGACTCGTCTGGGTTGGAAGGGAGCTTAAAGCTCATCCAGCTCCAACCCCTGCCATGGACAGGGACACCTTCCACTAGAGCAGCTTGCTCCAAGCCCCTGTGTCCATCCTGGCCTTGAACACTGCCAGGGATGGGGCAGCCACAGCTTCTCTGGGCACCCTGTGCCAGCGCCTCAGCACCCTCACAGGGAAGAGCTTCTGCCTAAGAGCTCATCTCAGTCTCCCCTCTGGTAGGTTAAAGCCATTCCCCTTGTCCTGTCCCTACAGGCCCTTGTCCAAAGCCCCTCAATAAAGATGTCACTGTGCTGCTAATGTGCTCCTTGCTTCTTTGAAGACAGTTAAACAAATGCTCATTGTATCTCACTATAGCTTCATATGTTGTGCTACTGATGTGTAACTTGTGTGCTGCTTGTGTGTCCTTTCCAACATGTATCCAATTAATTATTGATAGAAATGAGGCTGGAAAGAGTTTTAGCCTCTCAGACACATACTCAGCCAGCAAAGCTGGTTGAATCACTTGTGATTATAAGCGACTAATAGAGGGGTTTTAAAACCCCTGTCTCTCAGCTGAGACGGGGCAATAGGCTGTACTTGTGATCCAACCCATTGCAAGGAGAAGTACAATAGGTTTAATTACCCTGCTGCAATTTCCTGGTCACAGGTTTAGAAATGGAGCGCTGCACTGTTAACAATGGAGTTTAATGGTCTGTAGAAGTATGTTCTAGTAAGCTAATTCTGCATCTGAGAAATTCCAATGATGTTCTCTTTTCCAGCAACACCTCAACCTCGCAACTTGTCTTCCCCCAGTTCTATAAACTCATTCCAGCCTGGAATGAGCACTTGTGTCACGCACATCCACTCCACTAGCCAGAAAGAACAGCAGCACAATGCAGATGCATTTGCCAGCAGGGAAACAGGAGGGTAACAGCAACCCATCAACATTTGGTACCTTATGACTCATTACCCAAGGGCACAAATGGCTGTTGTCAGTGTGCAGCGTCCCACATCCATGCTGGGTTGCTCTGGAAGCCCTCCAGCTGCCAGCACCGGGATAACACCGGATCCTTAAGCCCTGCATGGGATGAGAGGCACAGCTCTTCGCTGCTCCATCCGCCACCTCTAGGGCGAATGAATTCATTGAATTAATGAAGCATAAACCAATTACTTAATTAATCCAAACGACACTAATGCGAGTGAAACGTTTTGCCCCTAAACGGCCCGACTTTTTTACCCACCCTGCTGAAAACCCTTCATTTCAATGGGGAGTGCAGCAGGAGCGACAGGAACAGACACAAAGCTCCTATCGCGACCTGTCCCGACAGCATCCCAGGTCCGTGGACCACTGATACCCCCCCACCTTGCGCCAGCATGACGTCATCACACCCAGGCCACGCCCCTTCCTCCTTGTTCTCGCGAGAGTTCATCTGGCCCTGCCCCTTCCGCCTATGGCGGCGCGGAGCCCGGTAGCACCGGCACCATGCACTCGGACGACGTGAGTCCGCCGGTTGATTCGGTCCGGTCCGGTCCCCGCCCCGCCCACCACCCGCTCCGCAGCCAATCAGCACCCGCCTCACCGCTGAGTCGGTTGCGTCCGGCTGGGACGTAGCCCCCCCCCCAAAGCACCACGTGGCGGGGAGGCTCCCCCCCGGTCCCCAACCGGGGCGTGTTATGGGGAGGGTGTAAATGGGAAGGGGGCAGCACACGTCACCCCTCCCCTCGGTTCTTGCTCCTCAGTGGGGTGCAGAGAACCCCAACAATTATGGGTGCCCCCCCCCTTAGAGCCTCACGGGGGTGCTGCAGGAGCCAGGCCCTGGGTCAGTGGTGTCGGGGTGTGACAGCCGCTGTTTGTGCTCGCAGGTTGTCTGGGACATGCTGGGGAACAGGCAGTTCTGCTCCTACAAGATCACGTGAGTTTTTGGGGGACAGGGTAGGTTGAGCCAAGGGGTTCTGTTCTGCATGGGGTGCTTCGGGGGGAAGAGGAGCAGGAGGGACAAAGCTGGGTGCCTCTCTGGTATAGAATCACAGAATGGTTTGGGTTGGAAAGGACCTTAAGATCATCCAGTTCCAACCCCCTGCCATGGGCAAGGATGCCTCACATTAGACCATGTCACCCAAGTCTCTGTCTTTGACACTGGCAGGGACGGAGCATTTACCACTGTTCCCAAAGGTGAGGGTGCTGGGATGCTCCCACCCTTCCCCTTTATTCTTCCCTCTCATCTTTGCAGGACAAAAACCCAGAACTTCTGCCGCAATGAGTACAACCTGACGGGGCTGTGCAACCGCTCCTCCTGCCCACTGGCCAACAGCCAGTATGCCACCATCAGAGAGGAGAAAGGTGAGAGGGCAATACTGTCTGCCCCATGGCACCCGGGCCCCCAGCACACTTCTGCTGTCCAGGCTGCATCGTGTCTCTGCCAGCATCTCATTGCTCTCTTCTCCAGGTCGGTGTTACCTGTACATGAAGACAATAGAGCGGGCGGCTTTTCCTCGTCGCCTATGGGAGAGGGTGAGTTAACGGGAGTGGGTTGTGTACCAAGAGGCAGCTGAAGGCAGGGAGCGATGGGCCAGATACATCCCCACATCCTTGCCACTCCATAGCCCAACTCTTTCCCCATGCCAGGTCCTGCTCAACAAGAACTATGAGAAAGCACTGCAGGAGATCGATGAGAACCTCATCTACTGGCCGCGGTTCATCCGACACAAGTGCAAGCAGCGCTTTACCAAGATCACCCAGTACCTCATCCGCATCAGGAAGCTGACACTCAAGCGACAGTAAGTGACAGGACTAAGAGTGATCATAGTGTGATTTGTGGAGCTGCTGCCTGTCCCCTGGGTCTCTGTCTCTCCCCACTGCACTTGACTTTTCTGAGGCTTTGCCAAGCTCATACAGGAACCTGGCTAAAGTGGATTTAACTACACCATAGTCCAAGTCCACTTAACCTAGCCACACTTCTAATGATGTAAATGCTGGTTGTTGGCCTTAATGACCATTTAATCATCTGCTACGAAAGAGGTGGACAGATGCAGTAACTAGCACTTGATGTTCCTTGTAGGAGGAAGCTTGTTCCTCTACGCAGGAAGATTGAAAGGCGGGAGAAGAGAAGAGAGGTAAAGCCACTTTTTCATCATCTCGTGTCTATTGCTTTTGTTCCACACATCAGACAACTGACACAGCTCCTCTCTGCTCCATTAGGAGAAAGCCCTGGTTGCTGCTCAGCTGGATAATGCCATTGAGAAGGAATTACTGGAAAGGCTGAAGCAGGATACGGTAAGGATCAGCAGCTCCGACTGCCTGCTGGCCTGCAGGGAGGAACACAGTCCTTGGTGTGGAAGGGAAGTGCCACCTGTATGGGAGGGGTGGCAGATGACAGTACGCTGCCCTGCTTAAGTGGCTTAGTAACAGGAGGACTTGCTTCCCCTCAAACCAGAGCCACCCATCTTCTGTACAGGAGCACGTCCTTCAGAATTGGGGAAGGGGCTGAACCCCACACTCACCCGAGTTTGACACAGGCCCTTTAGATGACCCTGCCACCCATGGCTGAGTTCCTCCTGTGACTTACAGAAATTCCACATATTCCTTTTCAGTATGGAGACATTTACAACTTCCCCATCCATGCCTTTGACAAAGCTCTGCAGGAGCAAGATGCAGAAAGTGAGAGCGAGTCCGATGCAGAGAGGGAAGAAGATGAGGAGGTAATGCTTTAAGCCACAGCACCACAGCCAGTCCTTCCCTGAGCTGGTGCAGCACCACCAGCTCACCGACAAGCCGGGCACTGGAGTGTGAATGTTGGGGTGAAAGGAAGAAATTAAGAGCGGTGAACTAAGAAGAGTGTGTGTACAAGTGGTGGCCTTGATGGCTCTTCTGTTGCTAGTCACGACACTGCAATGTGCTCAGCATGGAGGCATTAGCTTTGGACTTTGTGTCTTGCAGGACATGGATAAAAGAGAGTTTGTGGAAGGAGATGACAGTGACCTCAGCGACTTTGAGGTAAGTGAAGCACCAGCTATAAAGTGTCAGGGCTAAGCTGTTTGAAATGAACCTCCTCCCTCTTGGTGTCTCTGGTGATGGGATAATCAGATTTGTGGAACATAATGATACAATCAGAGTGTGCTGGATCCACTACACCCCAGCTCCTCTGGCCAGACAGCTGGGAGCCAGGATTAGAAAATGGAATTGGATACCTAATTGTGCAGAAAGGAGGTTTAGTTACACAGCATGCTTTGATGTCATCTTGCTTTCTCAGGACATGGATAAGTTAGAGACAAGTAGTGAAGAGGAGCAGGAAGTGGAGCAAGAAGTAAAGAAAGGCTCTCACTCCAAATCTAAAGGGAAAACTCCCCTGAAAGGACCAGCCAGAAGAAAACGTCCCTACATTGAAATAGAGTATGAAAAAGAAACAGAGCCAGCCAGCAAAACAAAAGCAGCCTGACTCCTTCAACCTGCACTTTGTACTGAATGACAGGACCCCTTCATCTGCCACCAGAACTCCTTCCAGCTTTTGCCACTCTGCAGGACCCTTCATAATTGCTCCTTATACTCCAGACTAGTACTTTTCTTTATGAAAAGAAGGGTTTCGGACCCGACCCCAGGCAGTTGCAGCCAGTTTGTGCTTACATGAAGCAGTTTTAAGAAAGAAGATTTGACCTTCTCTGCAACTAGACAAGGCTCAGCTTGAACTGTGCGCTCCAGGAAGGAGCCTGGGCTGGGGGCACTGCTGCCTTGTTCTAAAGCTGTAGGTAGGTGAGCACACAAGTGTGCCTTCTTTGGGAGAGGTTATGGGGCTGACAGGGGTGGGAGGAGCAAGACAGCAACTTGAAATAAATAAAAGAGTTTACTGTCCAAAAAGGGGGTGAGCATTGATCACACCTCACGTGTTCTCTCGCACTTTTCTGATGCATTCCCGCACGCGGTTCTCCTCACAGCTGCTGTACACACCTTCCAGCAGGTCCTGAAACGAGAGCAGCATCAGTTCCTAGTGCTGTGGTACACTAAGGTTTATGCTGTTATCAACCCTGTCCCAGCTATCTGTTGGCAGTGAGTTACGCAAAACATATACAGGTCAATTCACTTATCAATGAAGACAAGCGTTAAAGTTGCGGTGGGTGGAAATTGATGCTTTCAATACACTGTTGGGCTGAGCAAGGAGGTGGGAACTCCTGCATGGTGCTGCCCCTTGTAAGGTATCAGAGATGAAGCAGTCCTGGGTCCCCAGCTCACCTTCACTTGCCCTTCAGAACAGCGATCCAGCAGGATGAGGCACTCAGTGGCCCCTTGGAGCAAGGCAGCTTTTACTGGCTCTGGTGTTGAACCCTGGTCAGTGTGCACATCCCAGAGCATCTTCAGCAGGGCTTTCAGGAGCACAGGGAGTCTGCATGGCATTCTGCAAAGGGAAACAGCAATTCCACCTTATTCCAAATCCTCTTTGTAAGCCAGGGGAAAGCATTGCCTTGCCCTGGCAGTTCCTGGGTACCTCAGGCAGGAACTGCTAGCTGCCTTTACGTGTGGAGAAGGAGCTGCAGGACAACTGCTTCAGCAGTGAGGTTGAAGAAGCTGCTTCGCTCAATGTGCCCACCAGAGGGAGGACAGACACAGGCCCTGAACACAAAGGTAGCCCTGGGATGGAGTATCAAGGGGCAGCCCAATTCACAGCACAGGCCTTACTCTGCAATAGTTGCCATACACAGATTTAGTTTTCAGCCAAGTTGATGCTTTTAGAACAGGCACAAAACAGATCAAAAAGAGGACCCAGCTTAGTTTTTCAGTGAGGTCATGCCAGTGATTTCTCCCTGTGACAGATTCTCCCTTCAGATATCAGGGCCTTTTCCTCAAGCAACAGAAACTTTGGCTCTGAAAGGGTGACAGCATTCAGGACGTATCCTCTGTAGCGTCTTTCACGCCTAGACAGGTACCTGGGCCAAGCGTGCTCTATGGTGCACTGCAGTGTCTCCAGTATTCCCAGTCGGGCTTCTTCCTCAGGGCCATCAGAGACTTCCAGATACCCCAGGATAACTCGCTCCAGCCTCTTCAGGTGCCGTGCTATCTGGATGCCAAGGCTGCCAACATGAATAAGAACACACTGAGAAGGGAGATGAATACCAAGGGCAAAGCAGGGCCCTGCAGGGCTGTGGGGGCTGCTCTCACCTCTGCACAAAGGCAGGCAGGGCCCTGGCGTAGACCCGCCGCAGCGCAAGGCGATGCTCTGCCTCCATGTGGGTCAGAACCAGCTGCAGCACCTCATCGCAGTGAGCGGTTGGTCTGCCCTGCTTCTGCTGCCGCTGGGCTCTCTCCAGGACTGGCAGCAAGTCCAGCAGGCACAGCAGCACTGCCTAAACCAGTGAGAGACAGTAAACGTGGGCAATCCTGCTGATGTCCCTTCCGAAACACCAGGAAGCCCCAACCCCACTGACCACCCACAGCTCCTGCATTTCATCTGACAAGACACAACTACTTCTTCTACCCATTCCCAGCCTTATTCAGCAAGGCTGCCACTTGGAAGTGACAGGAGGCAAGAGGTATTCCCTCTAATTTGGTATTTCCCTGAGAGCTACTGAGTTACTTTGTCTCTTGGCCACAGGTATCACCTATTAACAGCCTGACTGGACTGTCTGCTAGCAAACAGGTTCTGCCTCCTCATGCCTTAAGCTGGCTGACCCTCATGGGGCTGATGCACAGTACTACAAGGCAGATTACAATGAAGTTCTGCTGCCCTACCTGGATGAGAGTGGCCTCTCGTGAATAGAGGTGGTTGTAAAGGGCATGGTACACAACCTGAGCCCTGTTGAACTGGCACAGATCAGCACCTGGCTGCAACAACAGAGAACAAAAGGTTATTCCTGTGCATCACATTCAGCACCCAGTTAAGCCTTGCACATGCTGTGCCTTAGGAACACTGCCCCCTTACCACGTTCAGAACGATGTGATGCAGGCAGCGCACACCCAGGAGTTTGTTGTCCTCCCGGTAGTCGTCTGAGATGAGCAGTGCTGGCGGGAGGACCCGCTCCAGGTAATGGCTGAGCCAGGGCCGGGTGACATGAGGCAGAGTCCAGGAGAACACATGCTTCGTGGCAGGGTTCCGCTTCCAGGTGTCTCTGGGAATACAAACTTCAGCTCAGCAAATGCTGGGGTTAATGAATGCTCCCTGCTTACACATTTAGGCCTCTTGGCTGACAGTAAGCTCTGATCCCCCCCCCCGCTTTCAATCACTAGGTGTTTGTAAAGCTCTAGCCCCATATTCTTCATCCAGTGTCTTGTAATACCTCAGCCACAAAGATTCCCAAAAGCTTCCAGTATTTCCTACAAAGAGACCAGGCAAACACACCTTCCCCCCCATCACAGCCCTCCCCTTCCTACTCACTTGGTTAACTCCTGTTTCAAGAGCCCCATCACCGCTGCAAACCTTCCCTCCTCATCTTCACTCTTCCCCCGAAGGAATTCAGCCACAGACCCACACCCTGCGGCCTGCACCAGCGACTCCAGCAGCTCCCGTGCCACCGACCGAGACCTCCCGTTTGTCCAGGGCCTCTCCACGATATGCGTTGCAGCGAAGATGTAGACAGGCCCCATCACACAGCGCAGGATGGGGCCCACCACGGGGGCACCCAGAGATTCCTGCGCCTTGGCCGCTTCCAGCTTCGCCAGGAGGTGCAGGAGCACTGCCCCGACATCCGCTGCTCTCTCAGCTGCAGCCGCGCACGCACCGTCCTTCCAGGGCACATCCGCGGCCTCTTGCTCCTGCTCCGGGGGCGCTCCGTACCGGCTCAACGCCAGCACCAACTCACCCAGCGTGGCGGGGCGCAGGTCCCCGAAGAGCCACCGGCAGTCGGCAGCCTCCATAAGCGCACGCAGGTCTCGGACCGCGCCGGCTTTGGGGGCACCGCCGGACAGGAGCTGCCCGAGCTGGAGCAGGACCTGCTCGGCCGGGGGGACAGCGGGGGGCGGCTGCGGCCCGTCCTGCCTCAGGGCTTGCACCAGGCCGCTGAGCTCCATAGCGTGACCCGCACCCCAAGGCCGCTTCAGGCACCTCAGAGCCGCTTCCCGCACCCCAGGGTGAGCTTTTAAAGGCCCCTTTAAGCACCGCTCACCGGCACCGGCACCGGCACCGGGCACCGGGCACCGGGCACCGGCACAGAGACCCCCGCAGCCACCGCCGAGCCCCTCTGGAGAGCCGGCTCCAGCCACTGTCGCAAACTCCGACTCTTTGCCGTAAAGGTGGTGCGGATGGAGGCGTGGCGATGTGTGTATAAATTAGCATAGATTATAAATCATAGATAAGCGGTTAAAAGTGAGGTGGCGCAGCCGGGATAAAGGGTGAAAGAGGATGATGAGGGTGGAAATAGTGGTGAGAAGGGAGATGCATTTATAAACAGGGGAAAACATGTTTGGGACTCTTCTCTCGCCCTCACCTGGGGGTGAGAGGCTCGGCGTTGGGGTTGAGCGCGTCGGCGGCGGGCCTGATCCTTCCGGTTCATAGCAAATGATGAGTGGGATCGGCACGCGGCTGCGTGACGTGTGCGCCCTGACGTTACGACGTGGCACAGTTCCCATCTGAGCTCCCGGGGGGGTCAGCGACGTCACTGATGGCGTCATTACGTTTTTAAGCGCTTAAAAGTCGCGAAATGCGGGTGGGTTCGGAGCGACGTGGGTCGGTTTTGGGTCCGTTTTAGTCGATTTTGAGCAAATTCGCGTTTACTTGAGCACTCAGAAACTGAGAAATCACCCATTTAATCTCTTTTCACACCAAAATGTGCTTCCCCCCCCCCCCCCCCCTTGGGACCCCATCGGGATCAGGTACAAAAATACTCTATGCAGCAAACGGGGTGTGTCCGTACACCCCCCCCCCCCCCCCCCCCAAACCAAACCAGCGCCCTGCGGGTTGCAATTCCCAGCTCCCGAATCCTTCGGGACCTGAACTGGGCGATGCCGCCTGTGGGTGATGCAACCCCGCGGTCCAGCAGGGATGCGGATGGCAGGGAGCGGAGCGGCTCACACCAGCTCATCCAGGAGGGTGCCGATGCCGGCGCGGGGCTGTGCGGGACCTGCCATGGGCTTGTTGCACATGGGGCAGACGCAGCGGACCTCCAGCCACTTCACCAGGCACCTGCGGGGCAGGAACGCAGAGGGATGGGATTCCAGCGGCAGGGAAAGCCCCGCATCCCCGCGTCGCTGTGCTCACCTCCTGTGGAAGGCGTGCTGGCACGGCAGCACCCCCAGCTCCTCCTTCACCTTAAAGTCTTCCAGGCAGACGGCGCAGGTCTGCTGTGGGAGGCGAGACAAGGGTGAGGGTGGGTGCGAACACACGGCTCTGCTCCTATCCGTAATGCTGTGGCTGGGGAAATCCCGCTGCTGCTGTGCCTATTCCCGGGTATTTCCAGCTCCCAAAATACCCCCAGGGAGGGGGTTTCCCTCCCCGTTCCCAGCCATCCTCATCTCGCTTTGCTTGTGAGTTGCCTTTGAGCCCATGGAGCAGACGGGATGGCATCATCCCCGTTACCCCCAACTCCATCCCATTCCAGAGGCGGAACCACTTACCCCATGCACATTCAACCTCCGGGCATCACCTTTCAAAACCACCTGAGGAAGGAAAGGAGGCAGAGGATTTAATATCCAAAGGGATTTTGCCCGGGCCACAGCACGTCCCATCACGCCGTTTTTGAATGCACCCAGCTGCGATGAGCAGCATCAGCCCCTGCTGCATCCCCACCTGCCTGCATCCACCACCCATCCGGCCCCAGATCACTGCGGGTATGTGCAGTATACATATTTCCTGTACAGAAACAACCAGCCTCTTTACCTCCTTGTACCCGAACCGCTCACTCTGCGCCTGGTGCCGCAGTTTGCTGCAGAGGGGGAGAAAAAGACGCTGTGAGCTTTACAGCATCCCCAAGGGTTGCATCAGTTGGGTTTAAAACATGACAACAGCGCAGCCAAAACCACACCGGAGGCACCCGAAATCAGGGGAGCGCACCCTTCCCAACCGGGAGTTGGGGATAAGCAGCTCTGAGGCTGTTTGTGCCATTGGAGCAGCCCATGGTCATGTCCCAGGAGCACCATGGGACTTGTGCCACCTCCAGAGCAGGCAGGAATGGGCAGTGGGGAGCGATAAGAGCTGGCAGCCCTGATTGTTTGCCTTAGGAAGTCGTTCATGGTGCAGGAAGCGCTGTATTTCCAGTGCTGTATTTCCAGCTCCCAGCCCCACTGTGACCTTGGCCAGGGGAAAATCACCCTGCAGAGAAACGGAGCAAGATGTGGGCACAAGGAGACTGCTTGCAATAGAGCTTCTCTTCCAAATGAGGCACTGAGATGTGCTTCCACGATCCCCCAAAATGGCCGAGAGATGCACAGGGCATCAGCAGAGCATGAGCATCCCATAGGGAATGACTGAGCCACCCGAGCCCTGCAGAAACACCAGCTGCTGCCTCGGCTCTGGGTTTATAAATAGCCCTCCCTGTAATGTACAGACACATCCTCCCTTGTGCAGCCCTGCTCCTTCCCTGCACAACACAATGCATCCCTCCGTGTGCTCCCCTTCCTGCGTTTCCTGCCATGCTCCAGCCATAGGGAACACCAGGGACCACGAGCACAGCCCTGCTCTTCAGGGCACATCCTTATGGCGAGTTATGGAGGGGATATGGGAAAGGGCTGGGGGTACCGCAGGGATGCAGCCCTGCCGCTTCAGGCCCTGGCTCACCTGATGAAGTAGCAGCAGAAGATGAGGCTGAGCACGAAGACAAAGATGCCGGTGCCGAAAATGACCATGTAGATGTTCAGTGGGAGGTCCTGGAATGTGATGGGAGGCATCGTGCAGGGTTTACTGGGAGAAATCAGCCCCAGACTGCAGGAGCACCCTTTGGGGGGAAGAGTCAGAGTTTAGGATGGAGGAAGGGGGAAAAGAAGTGAAAAGGAGCTGCTATGAGAACAGAGCAAGCCTGGGCTGGCTCCATCCCCTCTGGAGCTTGCAAAGTGGGCAGAAACCAACACCAGCACAGTCTTGAGGGCTGTGAGTTGATGTCCTCAGGAGGAGCAGCAGCCCCTTAGAGCAGCTCAGCATCACCCAGCAGTGATAATGCGGTCACCCCAGAGGGGAAAGGCACAGGGACCCTCAACCCTTGGCACTGCCAGGAGCTGGTGCAAAGTCAGCCCTTTTATGCCCCAAAACCACGCTGACCCCACAAGAGCCGGAGCTTTGATTTCCCATCAGATCCTTCTCAGACAGGACTTTAAAGGCGAGCAGCCCCCGGCCCCATCTGTGCTCCCCCTGCCCCTTCCGCTCGGCGCCATCCCATCAAGCAGCTCCTCCAGGAACACTTGTGGCTTTAATTACAGGCCGCCTGCTTCCCATGAGGCTGGAATTTGCTCTGTCCCATGGAGACAGGAAGAGAGCAGGCGGCAGAAACCTCTGCACAAGCACTGAGATCCCAGGCTTGGTCTGCCTGGTTTTCTCCCTGCACTGTGGGCTCCATTGCCTGGAACACCTGGATAGCAAGGGGAGCCCGAGCAGGGCAGGCAGGCAGCAGCAATGGGGTGAGATCCTGCCCCGGGACACTTCATTCCCTGCTATTCCCAGGTGTCTACTTTGAATTCACAAGTTCCATTGATGCAATGGCCAAAGGCTCCGGGAGACAATTCATCTACAGGGCAAGAAAGGGAGGATTTGTTTGTCAAGTCCTTCTGCTCCTGAGACCTCCAGGTGCAGGAAAAGACAATGGGAAAATTGGTGGGGTTTTTTTTTTTCATTTCCTTGCTGGAAATGATGGAGAAATGCTCTGAAAAGAAAGAAGTGTTCAGCTCTGAAAGCAGCACTGAGCAGCTAAATAAGGTAATGCTGGTGGTGGGACACAGGCTGCAGAGCAGCTGTGGATGGACAGAGGAAGCCTCATGAGAACAGTGGGAGAATCAGCACCACAGAGAGCAGGGAAAGGCTGGGATGGGCATCCCAGAGGGTTTCCAGGAGAAGTACTCAATGGGCTGGGAATCAGGATCCCAGATTGGTTTGGGTTGAAGGGACCTTAAAGCTCATCCAGCTCCAACCCCTGCCATGGGCAGGGACCCCTTCCACTGGAGCAGCTTGCTCCAAGCCCCTGTGTCCAACCTGGCCTTGAGCACTGCCAGGGATGGGGCAGCCACAGCTTCTCTGGGCACCCTGTGCCAGCGCCTCAGCACCCTCACAGGGAAGAGCTTCTGCCTAAGAGCTCATCTCAGTCTCCCCTCTGGCAGGTTAAAGCCATTCCCCTTGGCCTGTCCCTCCAGGTCCTTGTCCAAAGCCCCTCTCCAGGTTTCCTGCAGCCCCTTTAGGCACTGGAGCTGCTCTAAGGTCTCTCCCTAAGGAGCCTTCTCTTCCCCAGGCTGAACAACCCCAATGTTCTCAGCCTGGCTCCACAGGCTCCAGCCCTTGGAGCATCAGGAGAGCCCCATGGGAGCCAAACCCTATCAATCCCATGCTAACCTATCCCCCCCAGCGCATCCCTCTGCTCTTTGTGCTCATCTTAAGGGGCTCAACCCCCAGCATCCAAACTCCTGAACATCACACCCAGACTTCGCCCCTCAACACAGGCTCGTCCCCCATCCCATGGGGCAGAAAACTCCCAACCCCACAAGCCGCTTACCGAGCACTGTTCCGGGTTGGATGCCCGAATTCCCTACGGGTGGCAAGGGCTGTGTGTAAAAGCCACATGGGTGCTGAGAGAGCAGAAAACCGAGGTGGAACACGAGATGCTGTAACTCTGGTGCCGAAGGAAGCAGAGGAGCCGGTCTAACACGTCCCTGCCAGCCGCAACACAGCTGGCAAGGCTAAGTTTAGACTCACCAGCTTAGCAAGGGTCATTCCTGCTCAGCAGAACTCATGAGCTCCAGGCTGCGGTGCCGAAGAATTCCATGGCAATGCCCTGTCCTGGTGGAGGAGCAGCCATCGGCTCAGCCGGGATGGGAAGGACAAGCCCTGGAGCAGCGGGTCCCAGCGAGGCAATGGAGCCTTCCCAAAAGCCAGGTCCTCCCAGCCCCTTCCCCTCTTGCTTCTCCCCATGAGGGCTCCCCGACACAGCTGAGCCATGGTTTCCATTAGCACAAAGCCCTTCGCCTGACAGAGGCGTTGGTATTTTTAGTTCAAGGGGAATGGATCCAATCTGGCTTTAACCAACATGAAATGAAGACCTGATGGGCGCCAGACCCAAACCGGAACAACCCATTTCTTAACTTGGGTTAGTTTAAGTAGTCTTAAGTCTAGTTAATAGCTTAACTCTGCTAGTTTTGTACCTGACACCGTAAGACAGCAGGCTGGAGCAATTATTTAGTAGGAAAATGAGACAACAGGGATCATAGGCATCTATGAAAGCACCTACAGACCAGTGCTGACTTTGCGCACTCTTCTCACTACAAGAAGATGGTTCATTTTACCATGTTCTTCATGTGAACTGCAAACCCTCCCCTTCCTAAGCAGGAGCAGCAAAGATGCAGTTTGACCTGTTGGGGCTGTCGGTTGCGCCTCTCCTCCTCCAACCCACACAGCCAGATTGAAGTGCTGAGCTGCCCTAAACGCCCTGCTGCAAGCTGTGGTGAGGACACACAGTGCTGCTGGTTGAGCTGGTTCATGGAGGAAACCTCAGCCCTGCTCCCCAAACCCCTGACCATCATAACCCCATTAATGGCACCCTCATGCTCCAGTGACGCTGCACGGTTTGGTCCTCTGGATACAGCAGTTCTGTGTTTTACGTGAGGACAGACACAAGTTTCCACCCAATGTGTGCAGGCACTGAGGTTTTGCTGAGCTGAGCTTCTCCCTCGCCCCGATCCTTGTTCAGTGAAACAAATGGAAAACTCAGCAGGTCATTAAATCAAACCATTCTTTCCCCTCCCACACAAAAGCTGTGGGCTTTGCATCAGAAAAACTGAGCACAGCTCCCAAACCGTTTCTGCTGTGATCACAGAATCACAGCATCCCAGGCTGGTTTGGGCTGGAAAGGACCTTAAAGCTCATCCAGCTCCAACCCCTGCCACAGCCAGGGACCCCTTCCACTAGAGCAGCTTGCTCCAAGCCCCTGTGTCCAACCTGGCCTTGAGCACTGCCAGGGATGGGGCAGCCACAGCTTCTCTGGGCACCCTGTGCCAGCGCCTCAGCACCCTCACAGGGAAGAGCTTCTGCCTAAGAGCTCATCTCAGTCTCCCCTCTGGCAGGTTAAAGCCATTCCCCTTGGCCTGTCCCTACAGGCCCTTGTCCGAAGCCCCTCTCCAGGTTTCTTGTAGCAACAGGAGAAGAACTCATGATGCAGAAGAGGAGCTGACATGCCCAGGCCACATGGCACATGCTGTCTGTTCAGATAACTCTGAATGCACCTATTTAGGTGGAAAATGAGACTTCTTCCCTGGCTTTCAGGCTTATTCCCACCAGTTCTGCAGCCCCCCAGACACCGTTTTGCTGGACTCTGCTGACCTCAGCATTTGTGAGCTCAGGGCTGAAAGCCAAGAGGTACAAGTCAGATGCCCATGGTCAGGCTCCCAAACCCACATCCCAGCCTTTGAACAAGGGTGGGCTCTGTTCTTGGTGCTCCCCAAAGCCCCTGCCTTGGGAAGCCAGCGAAAGCTGTTGGTGCTCAGAGCCTCTAAAAGCCAAGTCTCTTTTATTTAGGACGTTCCTTTAACACAACCAAGTTACATCTTCAGCTGGAGAGTGTTCACTCACACCCTGCTCAACGGAACCCCCCCATTTACCACATATCCAGGGCAGGGAGTTGCAATGCAATGATCTTTAAGGTCCCTTTCAACCCAAACCGTTCCGTTATCGTTATCCTATGTCCAGAACTCATTGCCTGCAGCACCGGTGGCTTCTCATCCCCCAAGCTGCCCAAGAACCCACAAGGGATGCGTTACAGGAGAGGAAGCCACTGCTTGCGTTATATTTAGCTTCAAAGGCTGTAACCCTTTCACAAATTAAAATCACCCAGCCTTTGCTGCTGGGGCAGGGCTTTGATGCTGGAATTCCCAGCGCAGCTTCCCCACTCCTTAGCCATAAAAATCAACCACTTCTCCTTCCAACCGAACCCTCCTCACATGTGCAAACTCAGTTCCACGTTCCTGAGAATTCCTTACAGCCAATACCAGAGCTGGGGCCTCGCCTGGGGTTCGTTACAACAAGTTTATTCCCCATCTGCGGACACATGGAAGAGGTTTTGTTGGTTGCAGCAAGGCAAATTCACTCAGGAATTGGCCTCATTCCTAGGAACGGGGCAGGAGCAGCTGCTCTGGAAGCAGAAGCGCTCCCTGGTGCGTTCCTGCATGGAACTGGGGCTCCGAGGAAGGGCAGGGAGGGGGAAAAGGGGGATATTTCCCCCCATCGCCCGCAGCAGGAGGGCGGGGAGCGGGTCCCCATCGTACCCCAAACCCCTCCCGCCCCTCCGCGGCCCCGCTCTCACCGTTGCAGCCGGGAGCCGCTCCGCCGTGTCCGGTGCGGGGCCATGGCCATGGCCGGGAACGGGACTGGGAATGGGAACGGGAGCGGCCCCAAACCCCGCCCCGAGCCCCCGGGGCCGCCCCCGGGGCCGCCCCAGCCGAAGGAGCAGCGGCGAGCACCGGGCGGTTGGAGATGGGAGACACGGGGTGATCCCAGGCTGGATGGAGCAGCCCTGAGGAGGAGGAGGAGGAGGAGGAGTAGGGGGTGTTGAGGAGAAGCTCGCCATGACCCGGCTTCAGCGTGTGCTTGAGCTCCTGGTGTCCTGCACAGGAGATGGCTTTGGACACGCTCAGCATCTCCATCCGGACTGTGCGCCCTGCGGGTGATGGGGTACCACGAGGGGCCGTGAAATGGCCCCATGAGCCCTGTGTCAGGGACAGCAGCATCGCAGGGGCTGTGTCCTCCTCCTCCTCCAACAGCTCCGAGGATGGTCCCTGCTGATTGTCCTCCCCAGATCGGGGTGCTTTCCCCCGCTGCACTGCGGTGTCCCTGGGCACCGCAGGCACACAGCAAGGTGCAGCACGCCGCGGGCTCCGGCGGTGGTTGTGCTCTCTGGATGAGTTTGCTGGTCCTCCATACACGACCTCTCCTCATGCTCAGAGCCTCCCTGATCCCAGCTTTGTCCAACAACAGCCCCGCTCCGCATTCAGAGCCCCGTTTGCAGCAAGCTGCACAAAGGGAGCTCTGCGGCAGCAAGGAGCACAAAGCAAAGCTGTAAAACCACAACAGGAGGCATTTCACAGCCCCAGGCCTTGTCAAGCTGCAATCATCCCCTGCCGAAGCTTCTGGCGTGTCCAACAGTCCCAGCAATGCCCCGTGCTGGCGCAGATGTGACCAGCCCCTATGTGTTGTGTTGCTCAATACAAGTTCCTCCTTGCTCAGTGTCTGCAGCCCTTGCTCAGGGTAACTCAGGGTAACCTCAGCCCTGCTGCCAGCAACTGATCTGATCCGGTTGATGCTGTGCTCTGAGCACCCTGGGGCACCTTATAAGTCCCCATCCCAGGAGCTTACACAGTGCTCCAAGCAGAGGGGCTCACTCTTGCTCCGTGTTTATGTGATCTCAGCAGAACACATCGGCCAAGTGGAGCTTCCACTCAGGAAGTGGAGGAAGAATGGGGCTATAATAAGAGCGGGTGGACAATGAGCGTGTGCGGGGACAGCTTGGTACCCGTGGGACCCGTGCCATCACAAGCACTCACTCCTGGCCCTGCTCACCCTCCTGGGGCTCCATCCATCCCATCTGCAAGCAGCGAAGGTGTTGTCACGGGTCCCAGGGGACAGCCAGCCCTTCTGGGAGCCTGGTGCCTGCCTTTGGGAGACCAACATCGCCACCTCGTGATGGATGGTGCCCCTGGTGATGGTCAGAGCCCGGCTCTGCTTTCCACCGGGAGCCCACCAGTGATGGAGAAAAAGGAGAGGGGAGGCCCAGCACAGGCACTGGGGTCTGATGGGTTCACCCCTCGATCCAGGAGGACTCAAGTTCATCTCAGCCCTGAGCACTTGGTGATGCTCTCCCACCAACTCCGTTGCCAAACCCCAGCCTAAACCCATAAAGGCTCTCCCAAAGCACACAAGGGATGGGCAGACTTTTTCCTTAGCGCTGTCTTTATTTGTACAGGTTAACACAAGGCATGGAGGACATCCAAACACTGCGACACAAGGCCTGCTTGCCTGAGCCCACACGCCAGATTTACTTCACATTGCTACGCAGACCAAAAACAAATGGGAGACAAGACAAGGAACACACAGAGCTTCGGTCTCCTGGGAGGGAGGGACAGGACTGCCTTGGCAAATGCATCTGCCACATGGGAGAATGAAGCCTTAAAAGCTTCCTGGAGCCCACAGGGATAGAGTAACCTGTAACGTGGGGCTGAGTCCCTCTGGAGGCATCTTGGAGCGAGCAGGCTGGGAAGGATGCTATACTTTAGACCTACCTGGGTGGCAAGACTGCAGGTTGAGGGCCTAGGCATTACCACTAGGAATAGCTCAGATGTTTGGGGACCCTCTTAACTGAGGAGGAGGCCCAGGGGTCAGTTGCATGTAACCCATTAGCTGCCAAGCATCTGCACCGCGAGGAAAGCCCTATCTCTGCCTCTCAGTGGGCAGTGGGATCGGGTGAGCATCACACACACAATGCTCTTCATCGCACACAACCCCTCTTCACGCACTCCTCTTCAGCCTCAGGGCATTGTCCAGGGCGACCAACTGGCGCAAGAAACCCCGGTTGGGGATGATACCACGGTGGTCCTTGACCGTCTTTATGGCTTCTACAAGGGGCATGTGGTGGCGGATCATGAGGTAGGCGAGGACCAAGGTGGCCGACCTGCTCACCCCGACAGCACAGTGCACAAGGATCCTTCCTGGGGGTGAAACACAGGGGCTGTGTCGCAGCAGAGCCAGTATCCCCATTAAAAACTTACTGAGGACCTGTGGAACTCTAGACCTTCTGCCTTCTAGGGTTAGATGTGGAGCCCCAGTTATAGGATGGCTGTGATGCACTGAGGTCCCCCTCCTGGCAGAGGGTACCAGTGTATCCTTATCTGCCAAAACAGACTGAGGCACAGCTTAGAACACAGGCTGGGGCTGTGACCTGGGGTACTGGTGCTCACATCTAGCTTGTTTCCTCTTTGGAGGAGGTGATTCAGTGCAGGAGACACCAGCCCAGGCTAGAAACACCATTGCTTAGCAATAGGATGTCAGTCTAGCTTCCCACCTTCTTCTCATCCCTGCTCCCCCCTTCTCTCCCAGCAATCTTTACCACCGACCTTCATTCAGCGCTTGGTGGATGAAGTCAGCTGCAGGGTAAAAGTAGGGGCTCATGTCGAAGGAAGGCGAGTCGTGGGCCTCGATGCCCAGGTAGCGGATGCCTGTGCCCTCGTAGTACTCAGCACCCCCCCTCCACTTGCTGTGCGAGGCGTTGAGGATGTGGGTGATGCGCAGGTGAGCCAGCTCGCGCCGGTTGGCTGCTATATCTCTGCAGAGAAGATATAGTGTGAAGAAGCATAGGTTTAGACTAGTAAACAGTTTCCAAGGACAATATAAGGGCTGTTCTGGATCATGTTTACATCTGGATGCGAAGGTAAATATGCCAGACTGTTGTGTTTTAACTCAATCTCAGTGTCTGGCTCCACAGCACTCCACCACAGCAGTGCTCTGAACTCACACAGCCATGCTTACACCCTTCCTCCTCCTTTGTCCCAATGTACCATGCTCATCGCATCCTCCTCTCCCTCCCCTTTCCCATCCTCCTGCTCCCAGATTTCCCCCTTTCACGACAACAGCCCTGAAGCCCCGTGGTTCTTGCCCCCCTTCCGATACATACTGATCGCCCAGGTAGAGTCCTGGCCAGACCTCATCAGCATGGTTACAGGCTGTCTTTCCCGTGTACAGCAACCTTTCCAGCTCGAAGACGCTGAGGATGGGGTGGTTGTTGCGCTCCTCCCGCGTGCCCCGGCTCGGCGACCTGGTGCCGTTCCTGGAGAACCTCGACAGGAAAGCCATTGGAGCTGCCGAGACCCACAAGGCATACCTGTGGGATCGTGAAGGCCGGAGAGTGGCCTGGAGGTTGCTTCTGCTGCTGCCGCCACCCACGGTCCTGTCATGGAAGCAGCGGAGATGCCATTAAAACAGCTGGGGACCTCTCACTCCGTCCCTTCCATACAGTCACTGGCTCAAAGCAGCCAGTTCTCACCTTCCTGGTGAGAGGTCTGTGTGCAGTTCTCGTGTCCTCAACATAAAAAGGACATGGAACTGTTGGAACAAGTCCAGAGGAGGCCACGAGGATGCTCAGGGGCTGGAGCACCTCCTGTATGAAGACAGGCTGAGGAAGTTGGGGCTGTTCAGCCTGGAGAAGAGAAGCTGCATGGAGACCTCAGAGCAGCTTCCAGCGTCTGAAGGGGGCCTATAGGGATGCTGGGGAGGGGCTCTTCATCAGGGACTGTAGTGACAGGACAAGGGGTAACGGGTTCAAACTGAAACAGGGGAAGTTCAGGCTGGATCTAAGGAGGAAATTCTTTCCTGTTAGGGTGGTGAGGCACTGGAATGGGTTGCCCAGGGAGGTTGTGAATGCTCCATCCCTGGCAGTGTTCAAGACCAGGTTGGACGAGGCCCTGGATGAGATGGTTTAGTGTGAGGTGTCGCTGCCCATGGCAGGGGGCTGGAACTGGATGATCTTAAGGTCCTTTCCAACCCGAACTATTCTATGATTCTAAGTCAGCTTCCCAGTGTGAGACAGAGCATCATCTACACCCGCTTCCAAGGATCAATACTGCTGGGGAGAAGCTAATGATGCCAGGGCTGGTGAGAGCAGCCCCAGAGGCAGCCAGACTGCTGAGTCTCCACAGGCTGCAGTTTTGCTCCAGCCCCAGGAATTTGGGTTGAGGCCACATTGGCAAGAGATGTTCTACACAGGACCACCTTCCTTCTGAGCTGGCTCTGGGGCTTTGCCTGCCAGCGGGACAATGCCAGCTCGAGAGCTGATGCTGCCAACCTGTGATCAGAAGCAATGAAAGGCGGCCAGGCCTGGGCAAGCCACCAGGATTGGGGAGGAAAAACCCCCAAACAGGTGGAGGATTCCATATGGCAGCACTCAGCGTCTGGCCAGGACCCAGACACCTACAGAGCAGGCACAAAAGCCTGTGGGGAGGGAAAGACAGGATTAACCCCTCCAAGTACAGCAGTCCTGGCGCTGCATTTGAACATCTAGGCCTGGTCTGGGGTGGGAAGAGTTAATTCCAGGGGATGAGAAAGCTCATTTTGGAGAGCAGATCCTCAAGGATGCAGCTCTGCTCTCAGACCTTTAGTTCATGCCGATACTTGTCACACATCTGCAAGAACCCCCCCCCCCCCCCGGACAGCCTTATGGAGCAGGAAACAGCCCCTGCAGCCAGATGCTCCTCAGAGCTGCCTTTGGTTGCCTGTTTGCTGCTGCCCCGCTGACAGAACCACGCACACATGAGAATACAATTCCCTGTCCCCAAAATCACTGCATCGCACTCTGGAAGGTGTCCAAAGAGCATCCCAGCAGAGCCCCCAGCAGCAGCTCTGCACTGGTCAGTTGTCCCCGGG